CTCCTCACCCTGTCGCTGGCCGACGTGACCCTCTGCCCTTAAGACCTGGAGGATTTGTGTGTTTGCAGGTTTTCGTGGACTTCGATGAGATTCGGCAGGAGATTGAGAGCGAGACAGAGCGTGTGACAGGAGTCAATAAGGTATGGGACGGGGCTAACGCCGCTGAATATCTCCGTGGGTTGGTACTGTGCCTGTGCCCAGCGCCTCTGTGCGACTGCGACGTTCAGAAAGGCAGGAACGGGGCGGGGTGGACCGCTTGGTGGGTGGGTCGGAGTGTATTGTCTACCTTGGACTGGGCAGCCCCCTCCTCTGTGACAGGGTTGGGCGGGGAATGGACTTATTGCCAGCACTCAGTGATTCCCAGCACTCTGAGTATCTCTGCGTGACCGCCTGTCTCCCCCCTTCCCCTCCCCCCCTCCCTCTCCCCGCCCCCCTCTCTCTCTCTCACTCTCTCTCTCTCTCTCTCTCGGAAGGGTATCAGCCCGGAACCCATCCACCTGAAGATTTATTCGCCCAACGTCCTCAATCTAACCCTCATTGACCTGCCAGGGCTCACCAAGGTAAGGGCCGCTGTGTTCGTCGTGTGTGCATCTCCCATGACCAGGTACAGGGGGTGAATGTTTGAATGGGGGACAGTGTCGAAGGAGCTTTACTCTGTATCTAACCCCCTGTCCCTGGGAGTGTTTGATGGGGGGGGGAAACGGTGCAGCGGGAGCTTTACTCTCTGCCTCTAAGAGGGTTTTGATTGGGTGCTGTGCTCTGCTTCAGGTGCCAGTGGGAGATCAGCCTGTGGACATAGAGCAACGGATCCGTGAGATGTTGGGATTGTACATCGGTCACCCCAGCTCCCTGATCCTGGCTGTGACAGCAGGAAATACTGACATGGCAACTTCAGAGGCACTAAAACTGGCTCGGGAGGTCGATCCTGACGGTAGGCTGGTCGGCCAGGAGGGGAATCGCATCGCTGAACCGCACCCAGCGAGCCCTGTGGACGTCCCTGTCCCAGAGGCATACAGCACGGAAACAGACCCTTCGGCACATCCCATCTGTGCTGACCCTAATCCCAAACTAGACCAGTCCCGCACTTGCCTGCCCCTGGCCCATATCCCTCCAAACCTTACCCCATCCATGTACTTATCCAAATGTCTTTTAAACGGTACCCGCGTCCACCACTTCCTCGGGGAGTTCGTTCCACAAACCACCCTCTCTGTCAAAAAAAAATTGCCCTGTTTGAATCTTTCTCCTCTCGCCTTTGAAATATGCCCCCTAGCCTTAAAATCCCCTACCCTAGGGAAAAGACACCCGCTATTCACCCTATTCATGCCCCTCATGATTTTATAAACCTCTATAAGGTCACCCCCTCAGCCTCCGATGCTCCAGAGAAAATAGCCCCAGCCCCTCCTTATAACGTCCTGGTAAATCTCTCCCGAACCCTCTCCAGTTTAATAACATCCTTCCTATAACAGGGAGACCAGAACTGGACACAGTGCTCCAGGAGAGGCCTCACCAACGCCCCTGTACAACCCCAACGTGACGTCCCCAGCTCCTACACTCAAAGGGGCTGAGGGATGAAGGCAAGCGTGCCAAACGCCTCCTTCCCCACCCTGTCTACCTGTGACCCTAACTTCAAAGGATTATGTCCCTGAACCCCCCCTCGGTCTCTCTGTTCTACAACACCACCCCAAGGCCCTACTTTTCATTGTATAAGTCCTGCCCCTTGTTTGTTTTAGCAACACCTCGCGTTTATCCGAATTAAACTCCGTCTGCCTCTCCTCGGCCCGTTGACCAAATGGATCAAGATCCCTGTGTAATCTTAGAGGAACCTTCCTCACTGACCACTACGCCCCCGATCCTGGTGCCACCTGCAAACTTACTCACCGTGCCCCCTATATCCTGTAGTCTGTGTGCGACTGCCTGGTTGTGGGATCAGGTGGGAATGTTGACATGGTGTGTTGGGAGTGGGGAGCAGGGATGTGTTAGTGGCGGTTTACACGCTGGGGCGTGGGGATAGTATGATGGGTCGGGACACGTTTGGGATTCAGTGCGATTTGGAATCCAAGGTGGGCTTGGAAGGGAGGGGCAGGCAGAGCCAGGTACTGGACGGTTGCCACAGCAATGGGGTTTAGTGAGGGTTCACCTTGGTGGGGCGAACAGGGTCTGGGGTTGGCCATTCATCTGTGATGGCCCAGCTGTTGTGGGGAGTGATGGGGCATTGTTCCAGTGTGTGACCCTATCACTGCCTCCATCTTCTCTGTCTATGTCTCT